CCTGAAGATTCCCTGTACTCAACAAAGAACAAGCAAGTGTAGTATCAGTACACAACCACAGTGTACTGGTAGGATCATGCGGCTATCCCAATAAGTGAAACACGTGCAAGTAACCACAACATTATAAAACAGACATATACCGAACATATATAATATTTGTCATCTTTTCAGGATTAATGTAACATCACATGTTCTCAATAATACACATTGGTTATCAATTTAGAGCAACATACAGTCTTCCAATATCAATCATCATTAGATATGAACGTAATCATCACAAGTAGATACACAACACAATTCAATAGTCCTCTGACGGAACCCAATTAAATGGTCCTCTCATGAAACCCACACCCAAACTGTTAGCATACTGGAACATGATACCATATCCAATGTTTATGCCGGAACGTGGCAACTGATCCCATATTTCTGCCGGAAAGGGACAATCGATCTAAATTAGTGTGTCAGAACGCAACACCCGATCCATTCAAAAAACCACAATCACAATCACAATGTATATTCCCACAATCATACAACAAGAGGTGATTCATGGCATACAATAATTCATTTATCCTCATCCACAAGTAGTGTGATCAATAGTGAAACATTCGCATACATGTATTATAATGAAGCAATTACAAACATATATTATACGAACATGAAATCACAACCATCACCTACCTCGAATCCAAGATTAATCCCCTAAGGCACTTGAATCTTCCCTTTCCGGATTCTTCTCGCTTGTTCATGGTCTAAAATATACAATTACGCAAGGATCAATAAACGAGGCCTAATTACCCGGATTATAATCAACATTATCAACCCTAGGCCAACCCAAGATCCCAATACCAAAATTAGAGCTTTTTCCACCATTAACTTCATATCAAAACCTTTCCCCAATGATAATTACCCAAGAAACTACGTTCTACGGATCGAAAAATGGATTCGGGGAGTTAAAACCTTACCTTTAGCCTCAAGAATGGTGAAAAACAGTCAAGAACTCATCTAGGGTCATTCCTTAGCTCTCAAAGTTGAAAAGTGCATAATAAAGACGTTTTGGGGTTTATTAACGACCTTAAGTCACGTCGAACCCACCACAGCGGTCCTCACCCCGCTACAGCGGCCCCACCATGGCGGCAGAAATCCCGCCCCAGCGGCTTGCAAGGAACCAGTAAGTTATTTTAATAATTCCAAGACCCACATTTCACAACACTCCTTTAACCAACGACGCTGAGAAAATACTGTCCACGCTAAGATCGATTCAGGGAGTTCTACTCACCCGAATTCAATTCTGTAAAGTCATACAGATTCCGTAACGACTTATCTAACCACTGATGTAATCAAAATCATAAATAAGTCACCTGATTGCTACCAGATTTCCCTACACCTTAATGACTATGATTTCGTCCAAATCT